ACACATTATTTACAAAGACGACAAAATTTAGAAAATTATATTTGTTTTGTTGGTTGGCTGTAATCATATTTATTAGTTTTTGAAAATTTGGACAGCAATCAAATTATTATTTCATATAACAAATAATACGGAATGCATTCAAATTATGTTTGATAAGTTGTAGAGGGTTATGCGCTAAGCATAAAAATAAAAAATTACTAGTATATCTATTACTAGAAAATAGTAAGTCAGACATTAAACATATATACATATATTACATCACTGCTTTGTAATCATTGAGGAAAAGCGAGGTGAACAACACATTTCTCTATCTTCAATACTTTTGAAACTATTTTTTTTCTTTCTAGGAATAATTTGTTTTTCTAGAAACTCGAAGGAATCACTACAAGAATTGATTTCAATCACCCTATATTTTCATAGTAGGCTGATTCTTTTCATTTTTTTTTAATTTACGGTTGTTTATAAAAAGCTTTTCAAGTACTTTATAAAAAAATGTATACGCTTAAATCCAATACTGCTCTCATTACAAAAAGTTGACATGAAATCTCAAGTTTCTTCAAAAATTTTTTTAAATATACAAAGAATTTTTACATCAAATAGCAGTTATTAAGAAAAATCAAATTTCGGGAACTTAAAAAAATTAAATATTTTATTGTTTATACAAAGATTTTAGAACCGATGACAAGAGTTCCTTAAGTAAATCAGAGTGGTAACAAAATATTTGTAATTTCCATTTAACTAACAGTGTTAGAACAAGAATTAGTACATGAATAAAAGAATTAATAAATATTTTCTTAATTAAAATAATATTTAGAAATAATAAAGCAAAAATTAAATAAAAAATTTAAAATTCGACACAAAATTATTCAAAATAATTAAAATATTAACATTTATTCACTAATATTCAAAATAAGCACTAATATTCAAAAGCTCAATGTACCAGTAGGTACCAGTTACTATACATAATTACACTAAAGTGTGCATAATCAAAACTCATTTCACTTCTAGTACGAGAATGTGCACATATTATGTACCAATATGAATTAAGTAAATTTTTAATAGAAGTAGATAGACAAATTTTCATATAAGTAGATTATTTTATACATAGATAATTACAAATATATGTATAGATAGGTTCTTGCATGAGTAAATATATGAAATAAGCTTCGGGAAGATTTCAATATTGCATTTTATATAACTCAAATTATATATAGGCAATTAACCTGTACACGCATATTTACTTATCTATATATGTATAATACACGTACATAACTCTATACATCATATTTAATACCACTTTACGTGGATTCATTTGCATTAAGAATTTTCTGTGTTTTCTTACTTGTACATACACAAACCTATTTACATATATAACTATACAATATTATACCGTAATTAAGAAAAATATTTAATTTTGTATAAAATCTTAATGTCAAAGCAATTGTTGAATTCCCGTTTGCAGTTGCAAGACTTCAAGAGAGATTTTATTAGCTAAAACTGCATTGCAATAGAACTGCTGGTTTGAAACTGCCATAGATTATCAATATAAAAGCAAAAAACAATTTTATGATCTCGATTTGCGAGCTCAATATTTTAACTGTCCTTTGCAAGTTTACAAATTCTGGTCTGGAGTCAATCGTTTATTTAAATTCGCACACTCTTCGAAATTTCATACCATTCTCAGTTCATTCTTAAGTTTTTCAGTAATTTAAATGTAAAAGTAAAATATAATAACACAAAAAAGAAAAGGCAACTCGGGTACTTAATACTCGGGTATTAAGTACCAGGAAAAATTCATCAAAGGGCTGAATATAGTTGGCAAGTTGCTATTTATTTACCCCTGTCTTGCAACTTACTAACGCAAACCAGATTCTTAAGCTATACATTTATAAAATTTTATGTATTAAAAGAAATTCCTTTCCCGGGAATTAATCTCTAAGAATCCTTTATATATAGAATTGAAATTCACTCGGGGTACGATAAACTATTTTAATTTTTGCTGTTTCCCTTTTAATTTGAAGTGATTCTGAACATATTTTACTTATTCAAAAATTTTATTTTCCTTGCATTCTTTGTTTTTTTTTTGTTTCTTAAAAATGCCAGTCAAATTTTTTTTTTATCTAAAAACAAAATTACAAAATAATAGTTAACGTATAATAATTCCTCCATATGCGCGAATATTTTATATATATATAGGAATATACGAGTATAAGCTACAAATGCAATTCTTTAGACTTGTGACTTCTGTTTAAAAAGAAAACTAGAATTAAAAAACAAAAACTTTGCATTTTCTCCATTATTTTTTTGTTTTTTTTTTTGTTTTTTTTTTCGTTACAAATTTCTTCCAATTTTTGTCACAAATTTCTATTTTATGCATGAATTAATTTTTTAATTACTTCCTGTTGTAATGGAATTATATGAAAAATAATAACAATAAAAGCAGAACGACAACAACAACAAAAAAGACAAAAATCAGAAAAAACCGAATGAAAATTTATTTGCTTTTTTTTGTTTCTTTGTTTTTTTTTTCTTTCTTGTATTGTTTCCATTTTGTCATCGTCGTAACTTCTCTCTTATCGTGTACAATATTCTTTACATAACAAAATGGTATCACGGTTAGTTTGTTTTACTCTTACTATGATTTTGATAGTGTGTAGTTTGGTTTTGGTGGTATAATGGCGGTATTTTGCATGATGATGCTGATGGCAGCAGTGAAGTTGCTTATTAATATGAAAAAAACCAAAATATTTTTATATAAAAGTTCCTTTTTATTTTTCAAAAAAAAAAATTGTAATTTAAGTTCCATAGTTTTTAATATTTTTATTTTTTACCGGAAATTTTTTCCTGTTTTCAGTTTTGTGTATTTTTTTAATTTATTTCTGTTTTTAACTTTCAGTTTTTTTTATTTTTTTTTTGTATTTTTCCAAAAAATTAAAAAAAAAATATTTCGATTCAAAGATTAAATGGGAATTTGAATGGCATAAGTAGCTCTAATATCTTTTTGACATAACTGTGTTGGAGTTAACAACTTTCTTATTTTGTCTTCTTGAAATGTGATGTAATAGAATGGCACATGTGTTGTATGCAAGAAACAAGTATAATAGTTTTGAATTCAGTGTATAATCATAAATGTTAAATTTTAATTTTTTTTAAATAATATGACTCCTGTACAAGGATTATGTTGTACCTACATGTTTAAATGTCAAAATTAAACTTAGATTTTGGTTCATACTTAAATTTGAAGAAAATGAAAATCTACTATCTAGGATATTTTTTATGAAATATAAATTATTCGGATATTCGGAAATTATTGGCTATTCGGAAATACAAGAGCTATGCGGTATTCTATTTTAAAAAGAAAATATAAAAAGAAAAATTCCAAATTTTTCACAGTATTCGTATTTTCAGTTCCAAGCTCTTATTCCTTGCCTTAAAAATCTTAATTCAACTTCTTATTATTGATTTTACATTAAATTTCATTCTCAATGCTTTATTAATAAAAACAAATCGTATTTTTGACAGACATTTTTCAATTTCCACATTTGCCACCTAGGGTCGTGGTAGTACCGCAGTAACTCTCCTTTTCCACCCCTTATTTGAATGAGTCGAAACTCCCCACAAATCGGTCCCTAACCTTTACATCCGTTACAACCTAAGATCCCTAACATTTACATCCGTGTAGTCCGTAGCGCAATCGATAAGACCCATTTCGGAATAACAATAAAAAATAAAATTTTAATAAACGCAATGCCAAGTGTCGCATAATCTTAATATTTTCTAGCGTAAAATATATCCAAATAAAGTTTCACTATTATAGTTTTAATCATTTAATGACGCACTTCAATAATTTCATAAAATTTTCTTTGAATTCAGTCCAAACATTAAATTTTAAAAGGTTAGAAAATTTTAAAAACGATTCAAATATTAACGCCGCACAATATCCAGGGAATGTATGTTAATCTTAAGTAAGTAAAATAGTGAAAATTACCATATTCAAATTATATTTTCGTTTTAAATCATCACCCAGTCTTATTTTTCTTATTTAATTTCGAGACCACATTCTTGCATTATCTCCTCAAATATTTATTTTAAAACAAAATTAGAATTAAAAAAAACCAAAATATGAAAATTTTCTTAAATTTTTAATTAAAAATAATTTTTTTTTTTTGATAAATATTTGACTATTTGTTCATAACAATTTCAGTAATATTTTTTAAAGAAAATAAAAACAAATAGAATTTTTTTAATAGTAGTGCGGTAAAAAAATTAAAAAGTCTCCAAAGTGACAACCTCCAGCCAAGTAATAATATGCGTAATGCTGTTATTATCGTAAGAATTATGACTAAAAATAAAAATATAAAAAAAAAAATAAAAAATGAAACAAATTTTCTATTGAATCTATTAAAAGCTTATACTGAACAACTTAAAAGAAAGTGAAGTAGTAAAGAAAGCAAAAAGTCATAAATTGCTAAGAAAATACTTACAATATATTTTTTTTTTTGCATAAATTTACAGGAAGAAAGGGTAAGAAATGTTTATGGTTTTTATCTGGGTCAAGGCATCTATGTAATAATTTCAAAACAAAAGAAATCCTTCACTGTCCTTGATGTTTACTCTTAAATAAAAAAAAAAAAAAATTAAACAAAAAAAATTTATCATGAAAATAGATGAGGTCATATTATAATTTTCGTTTTTTTTTAGAGCAAATGAATTTATTCCTTTCATGAAAGGACCCTTTATATCGAATATTTTGTTGAATACGCGTTAAGGGTAACCAACCATATGTATACTTTAAGTTTACAATATTATATGTATATGTAAATGAAAAGAGTGAGAGAATATTATTATGTCAACAAAACATGTTTTATGAAGATTATTTTTAATAAATTTATATAATAAATTATTTATTAAATTTTTTATAATACAAATAATATATAATAAAATTGAACAAAAAAAAATAATATACTCAAAAATAATTTTATTTTCTTGTATATTTTTAGGGTAGTGCTACAGCAGCGCCACGTAGCGCCTATCCGGGAGCTCCGCCCCCAGCCCCGGTGTCATTAAAAGGGGCCCAAAGGCCAGCTATGACTAGTCCAGCTGCAGGTGGATTAGCTGGTGCTCCATATAGAGGTGCTAGTTGGACACCACAGGGATACGCACCAGCAGCTGCTGCTGCTGCCGCTGCTGCTGCACAACAAGCATATAGATATACAGCACCGTTACCGCAACCAGCTTATGCTGCTTATACCCCTCATACAACAACAACTACAACGGTAAGTTATAATTTTTTTGTTCTTTGATATTTTTTTATACAGTAAATGTAAATATAAATACTCCCTTGATTAATTTATACATATACGAGTACGTATGTACGTTCAATATGAACTACAGTATTGAATATTTCAAGTCCATAGAATAGTTTTTGATATTGTATAAAAAAATTAGCATCCAATTTACAAAAATTATCACCAAATTCACCTTCTTATTTGTTTAGTATTACAGTAATATAAAATATAAAATCCGAAATACTGAATGTAACTAAAAAGTAAAATCTTTTAAATAAGAGAAATTTACAAAATTTTTTGTTTACTTCAAATATTGCAAAGTCTGAACTTTTTTCCTTTTACTGCCCAAGGAAATTTTAACCAATTTTTATAATTTCAAGAAAAAAATAAAAATTAATGCACTAAATATCGTAATTTTCCCGATTGATAGTTGAAATTTATTTGTTATTTTTTACGAGTGCTTAAGAGTTTTCTTTTATAATAAAGTGTCTTTAAATTCTCAGATTTATAATAGAAAAATAGAATCTTATGATTTAATTTTCTTAAATCAATTCTATATGTAATGCGGGCCGAAAAATATGAACTTCTACAACTCATAGTTCAAGGAACAATAGAAGGCAATAATGAGGAATTGGTAGAAAACAGATGTCATGGTTACACAAAATCAGGGCTTGGCCGGATATATCAAATATCAGTGACCTTGTGCATCTAGCAATAGAGCGAATAAAATCCAACAATATAGTAACCAGCGTATTATGACCGCTAACATCCAGTAGTGGATAGGCTGTACAAGAAGAACAAGAAGAATTTTCGAGCTCCACATTAAACTATAAATGATATAAGAATCTCATAGCCGCAAATAAAAGTGATCCGGTTCTTTTTATAGTGAACTTGTATACTTGAAAAGTTTCATAATCTGTAAATTATTTCATAATAATTTGCTCATTACTTTTACAAAAATTCTTTAAATATAATATCAACTATGCACTCTTTCTCTGCGAGGAAATAATTGAAAATTGCGCTGGAACTCGGTCCAAAATAAAATATTTACATTCAAATAGAAATTATTTTCTCTCAATGATTTTTAAACTTTAATAATACAAAAATAAAAATAAAAATTGAAATGTACCTAATATTTTTTCTTTAGGAAATAAATACTTAAATTATTTTCCATATTCAAATATAATTACTCTAAGTAATATTATAAATATATATATATATATTAAAGTCTTCTGCATTAAAAGCTGTATATAGGTATATAATTTATAATAAATATAATAGTGGAAATGGTTAGAATTTTTATCAAAAAAACTGCCACAAAATACGAAAATAAATAATAAAATAAGTAAATAAATATACAGAAAAAAGTAATCAGAACAACAAAAAAAGCAAGGATGAAAAGGAATATTTTCCCGAAAAGTTTTTTTCTTTTACATTTCTTTTTTTTATCGTGTTTAACTTTGAGGACAAAACCTCAAGCTATGAGTTAAATAAAAGAATTTTAACAATGGTTGCCCATTATCGTTCAGTTTTCCAATGTATATGTACATATATATATATATATATATATATGTATATATATGTGTAAATGTAAATATATATTTTATATTCTATTTGATAAAAATGTTTCAACAGAGTGTCTCGGATCGGAATAAAATAAAATATTCCAATTAAGTTTACAAGCTGGTTTACAAATGGTTTATTGCTTAAATAGCTTTAATGGATTTACATCATTTCCATTAAAAATTACAACTACGTTTTGTGAGTCAGTTTTAAATTTTTTTTGAATAATTATTATTGGCGTAATTTCTTGAACTTTGAAACATTATTATGTTTCCATAACATATGAGGTATTCAACTTTGTAACAAAATATACCACATTCACCTAAAAAATACATTAATTTTCAAATCAATTTAATTGTTTATGTCTCATATTTAAGTATTGCGGCTCCTTAATTCAATCCAGCTTCATTTTAAAGTTTTTTATTTGAACTAAAACAAAAATTTTACAATTGAATTTCAAAAATCAGATTTTACTTCTCAAATAACAAGCAGCCTGTATACGTTTGAGAACTTAATCAGATATTAATACTATAATTATGAGTGAAGTAATATTAATAATATGAACCAAATTTTATATATGATAAACTATTTCCACAACTAATTATTCCCAATTATGAATTTTGAATCAAAATATAAGCAATTTGGTTTTGATTCTTAAAAATTACACCTGATTTTAATATTTGTTAGGGAATTCGATTTGCAGGAGTCTAGGTATAGTGCCAATGAAGGTGGAAATGGGAATCACAAAAGATCCTATGGGTTGACGTGAGAAACCCCGAAGGTCTTCGGTCCCCATAACGTGGAAAACAAATATACTTTGGGCTCCATTTTTCTTCATATTTTCCAATTTAGTTAATATTATTTTTAAATTTCATTGTACACACACACTGTGTAGGTACTTGAATTGTACTTAAAGAGAAATCTACGAGAAAATAAATTTTTTTTTTGTATTACAGTAACTATAACGAATAAAAATAAGTTAAAAGATACTACTAAAGAGGAAATGAAATGCAGAAACCATAAACTTTCTTATTTCAAAGTTTGGCAATAAGTTTTCCTTTTTTTTTTATGTATTATTTCTCTTACTATTATTTTTCACTATTTTTGAGTTACTATGAAAGTTTTATTTAATAAAAAAATAAAACAAACAAGATTTAAAAATTTCATATTTTATTATTACTTATATAATTTTCTTGTTATTATTATTATATTACATTTTATATATATAAAATGATCAAATTGATATTTATTTTCTATTTATATTTACTGTAGTTTTGCAGAACTTATTTTTTAAAAAATATGAGACATAAAACTTGGGTTTGTATTATTTATGCACACCTATACTTGTACATAAAAAATTACTTATATATATATATATATATATATATATATATATATATATATATATATATATATATATAAAAATAATAAAGCATTCGTAAAGTGTTTATTAGGGTTTTCAGACCATAATTTTAAAATATTATTATTTCATTTAAGAAAATATTGATATTTATGACTCTTATAATATAATTTAAATTATTCCAAGTAACATCAATTATGCATTAGGTGGCATGAAATAAATCTGAAATTTAATTAGCTTATTCTTATTTAACAACTTTGATCAGTTACTTAATAAACTTTGAAATTGTCATTAATAAAGGACTACATTTTCTATGACTTTTTAAGAAAAGTCTACTACGATTATTGCTATTTATGCGTTGTAAGCAGTGTTCCTACTCGCTAAAAATAAAATGTATCCAATTTCGAGAAAAAATATATCGAAAATGTATCCAACCTCTTAAAATAGAATTATTGTATTAAATTATCTTGTTTTGTACAAATTAACCCATAATTAATATTAATTTGCTTTATTCCACAATATGTGTTTTGTTATTTATAATAAATTCTTTAAGAAATCACATACAACTTCTATTACATTTCAAATGTAAACGTTAAGATCAAAAAATTCATATGTATATGTTCAGTTGTTGTTGAACTATACGGTAAAGACAATTCATCATGAAAACGGACAAATTTTAAGAAATATGTACAGTCAATGCATTTTCCGTTACAATTAGCTTACACCAAAATATTTCTGGCATGTTCTTGTCTAAATGTTCTAGATTAGAATTCAAGAAGAGGCAGAAGAGGAAAAAATTCGAAAACCGCCTTAGAAAAGCCAACAATAATAACATTTTTTGAAGATAAAGGAAATTCTCGATTTAATATTATTAGCATTTTAACTGTTTTGTAATATCTATTTAGTGTTTGAGAAATAAATGTATCCATATTTCAGCAAAATTTTCAAATATAGCCAATTTGGGCATTTTAGCAGATTTGAGTATCTTTATAGCCAAGCTCAAATTTAAAGCAAAAATGTATTCAAATGGATACAATTGTATCTGTTGCTGATTGATACAATTGTATTGCTGGTTGTAAGATCAGTAAAGATTAAAAATATGAAAGCTCGAAATAACTGTGTCGAATAAATTGTTGGTACATAATGCGTGATTGAAAATAATTAAAATACATGCGTACCCATGATTTCTCGTTTAACCGGTTTCTTAAAAGTAAATTAATCAAAAGTTAGGGGTATTCAATTATTTTATTAATGACTTATTTAAACTAACGTTCATGAAAGAGTTTTGCAGTTATGCTATGCAAAAGTTGTGTTTGAAAAATTCATATAATAAAACTTAGATTCGTCCGTTTAGTATAATTTACAGATTTAACAACATCTACATATTTACATCTTTTTTTTGCCACTCATAATCCATACGTTGTAAGAGTAAGCAATTTATAACAAACAGAAACGTTTTAATATTCTGTATTAAAACGAGGTGTGGAAGGTTAATTAGATTACAAATTACCAATAATATGTGAAGTTGTTTATCTTTATTATCAATTTTTATAGGAATAACTAATTTCTTCATACAATTACAGTACAGGTAGATGACGTCTAAAAAATGGTATGTCACTAGTTTGTGTCTAGTTCGACGAGAAAAACTTTTTGCTTTGATTACGTCATCCATCTATTCTGCACTTATATGAAGAAATTTCCATTAACGTTATTGTTAAAAGATTAATTAGATTATTAAGTCCACAATATTAGGAATAAATTTAGGAATAATAAATATTTTATTACCAAATTATAAAAATTGTTTACACAATTAGTATTTTTTTTTAGATTATTGAACTCTTTCCCTTATTTTGAAAAGCATCTTAATTGCTTATTTTTGATAGCGTCTTAAAATATTTCTTTTTTGGTTTTTAAAACGTGGCATATGAAATAGTAATTTCCGAATATTAAAAGTTAATTAGAATGTAAAAAAGAAAATTATTGGGAAAAATTTAAAAATAAGTTATTTTCAATGTTCATCACATTTCTTTTTGGTAGAAGCGTATTCTCAGGTTTAAGGGTAAAT